AAATTTTGCTGTCGAGCGGGGGGGGGAGGTCGTCAGGATTTAACTATCATTTTCAACTATCGGAAATAGTAGTTGTATAGATCTTTGGCAGTCCCTCTCCCAACAACGACCAAATACGACCCCCCCTCCCTCGCGGTCAAATACGACCCCGTTGTGATCATCACAACGATGGCATGCCCCGTAAAATTGAAGGTAATTACGTGGGCGGAGAATGCTCGCTTTGGCGCAGAAATTTTCGAGTGCAAAAGTGGTGCATCCTCTCCGAATGAGGACCACACCAGCTTCTGTCAGGTGAGGCTTCTGCATGTCGCTTAATCGCTAACTCTGCCTTTACTCAGGTGCATTCGTCAACTTGCGGATGCACTGAGCTACTGCCATGCGAAGCGTGTTATTCATCGTGATATAAAGCCGGAGAACATTCTTTTAGACTCAAAAGGAAATATAAAGGTAAGGAAGTCGATCTGTCCAATATTCGTTCGCAGTATTAATTATTGCTGTCTCAGGAGTTTTTTCTTTTCGAATAGGGCACTGCCCGTAGGCTGGATCACATAGTAGAAACCTTTCAGATTGCCGATTTTGGATGGGCTGTGGTTTCTAACCACTCACGGCGGGAAACGATTTGTGGAACACTGGACTATTTGCCGCCTGAGATGATCAGTGGACATACCCATGATCACACAGTAGGTTTCTTCATTTTGAAAGCTTCAACAAAAGTTTGGCTTTTCATACTTGTTATCTTGTTATGGCATTGAGAATATACTATTAGGGTGCTACGGAAGTTTCAAAACTTCTTAGTCAAACTCACAACTTTCTACAGAAAGGCTGTAGAGGACTGCATTGAATTGCACAACACCAGCAGTTTATTAAAATAAAAAGGATAAAGTCTTCGCCGTTGATCAATCCCTTTGTGGGATGCGGCACGCATTCTACTTCCATTCAGAATCGTAGTGGCTTATTGAATGCGATGTGGGGCTATAACAATTTGTTTTGCAGGGCCAGCCATCTGCAATATAGTGTAGTGTAACTATTTTTTTCTTATTCGTATACGTTCTGATTTACAATTGATTACCACTCTTAGTTATCTTCATATTTGGTCTATTAAAGTCGGTTCGAGGCGGTCTTAGGGTTACTCTCCGGGAGTTACAGACGCGGAACGCCCTGTTTTCGGTTATCGTACAGTATTGCGGACACACAGGTCAACATCGAATATTTTTTTTTGTTCTTTTTGCGCTCATTGTATTCTACTATACATTAAACAATAACCACATCTAAATGCAAGAAAAAATTGTAAAAATAAGACCAAAAACAACGACGAACTGTGATGTTCTGAGGGCGAAATGCCTTCGCCGTCGAATGTGTTAATTATTACATGGGGTCAATATGGGAGTAATAGTTTGTTTCGCGTTTCGCAAGTTGAGGGCTCTTACTCGCTCCCAGATGGAATCCTGGGTGGCTAATACAACCGCTCCCGGAGGGTAGAAGGCCTTGGCGGAGGTTCGACTGGATTCGAAACTCGGGACCGCCGACTGGTAAGCCGCCACTTGTCGCTACACCAACTCCGCCTCTTTTACATTGTTTAATAGCTTGTGCAATGTATGGCTTCCTAGATAATGTGCTCTGGTGCGACCTCCTTTCCTGTCCTTTTCTATCCTACAGACGCTCTTCTGAACATTTTCCCAGTCTCGAGCGAGAAGAGATGCGTCAGCTGATAATAACGTACTAACTTACTAATTTATATCCAGCCCTTTCTATGATATTTGTTTTTAACAGGTTATCACAAAAGAAGAGTGTGCTTCTATAGCTCCATTCGTCGTAAGCGTTACTGTTTCGAATTGATTCCCGTTGTTCTTCCATTTGGTACCCGAGCTCATAAGCTGAATGTAGTTCTGAAACATTCCTAGGTAAAATCAGGGCCTCTGAAGTTGCTCAGTCTTGTTCTCTGCGGATGCGAGTGCGTTCTAAGACGATTCCAGCGATCAAGTGTTACGGGTTGAAGATGCTCAGCCATGAACCAGTAACTCATAGGTAACTCTACATTAGAGAAAGGAGCAAAAAATCTTGAGAATACTCTGAAGAGAGACCCTCTTAGCAGGGGCGCTTTGGACGGACGTCAGCAAGCCCAGTCAGCAGGATCCGACGTGCAACCGATTTCCAGCACGAGGACAAAGAGCATAGGAAATCATCCTACGATGCTCCGGGCAACGCTGTCTGCACACGCGATTCCGCTTGTAAGCCGTGTTCTTGCAGAGTGAAAGTGATCATGGTTGCAATGCTTGCAATCTCAACGCCGTGCTCTAGCTTCTTTATCTTTCGCCGTTTCGGGTGACCGGAAGTGGCTAACATTTCCCCGAATGCAGACAACGATGCCAAATGCACAGAGACATTTCGCGAACCACTTGATTGCGAGAACTGTCTTCGAGGGGCGTGTTTGGCGCGGCGCCCGCCCGTTCTTCAGCAAAGCTGCTGCCTGCCAGCTCCACAGTTGGTGGACAACAGGCTCGCGCTGCGCTAAACCAGCCCTCTCTCGGGAACTGTTCAGGGTCTGCAGCGAATAAGAATGGAGGAGCTGGGCGAGAGGAGGCAATACTTTTCCTGGCCGCCTGGCGCTCTTTAAAGCTGAGCCTATTCAGAGAAAAAGTTACTGTCTTAGAATGCAAGTTAGGTCGCACCGTCTTGTGCTTCTCGACTCCATTGACCTCGAGAATCCTCTGTGGCAGTTCGTGGTGCATTGAGAGTAAGACTCTATGATATTCAGGTGGATAACTGGGCTGTCGGCGTTTTACTGTTCGAAATGCTTGTTGGTCGCCCTCCTTTTGAACATCCTGATCAAGCTGTGACGTTGCAGGCGATTATGAACTGCCGATATGCCGTAAGCTTTCCTTGTCTGTTTCTGTGTTTTGCTAAATTTGTTTTACCTTTTAGTTAGAGAGAATCTTCTGGTATGCAGTTAGCTTGGTACCTATGGCAGTTAGAAGTATTTTTCTTCACCAAATCTCATGACATTGCTCCCCTCCTCCCCTCCCCCCAAAATAGATTTCATTTTCTTTTTTTTTCTGAGCAGTGAACTTGTGCAGCATGAGATGACGTCTCATTGACGTCCATTGAATAAGGAGGAAAGTTGTGAATGACATCTTGAGGCATTTCACCAATTGTACCGTTAGGGGAGGGGCGGGCTAGATGGGCGGAGTCAGGAGGCTTCATCATTGGTGCGCCCTTCATGATCTCTACTGTATAGAAGGGCACGCCAGTCACATCATCAAGTGGTTGCGCCAGTTCGGTCATCCCGAATGATTACATGTGACGTCCAAAGGCGTCTCCTTAGTTGTTTCCCTGTCACCGTTGATATAGCAAGGCTGTCGGAGGCGGACTCATTCCACCCCTCCTGACACTCGCGACGTTAACGGCTATACATCAGCGCCCACATATTTTTAAATGCGTAAAAGTTTGATTCTTTTCTGTTACAGATTCCTTCCTCTGTTAAAGAAGGAGCCAGCGATCTGATTCGAAAGCTGGTCGTAAAGGAGCCGTGTATGAGGTGAGTAGCAAGAATTAATATTCAATCTCTCGAAGGTTGAGAGGGCGTGACAACCCACTTCGCTCGAAATTCTTGCATATCGTTATTTTCATTTGGAACAAGTCATCCTTTCTTGTGCTGGTCAATGACATGCTTGCAGTTATCCCCAAAACAGCGATATTCCCTCAAGAAGACAGCAGACGCACAGATAAAGTACGCAGCCACGCCCTTCCAGCTTTCAAAAAATGACGTGCCCGTAGTGGGAAACATGCTATTGGGATGGCGCGTTGGATAAGGCAATAATATTTTGCCGCGCGGCGGTTCGATGGCAAAAGTTTGTCAGTTGAAGCAGCGAAGCTCATGGGAAT